TTGTTTTTATCTCTCAAAAAAGAATGACCATATTTTTATTCTATTTTAAGGATTTCAAAATCAATTTTTTTTATACTATAATTTGGTTTAAATATTTCTACAATTTTATTACATTCTATTCTAATTGCCTTTACTTCATTTGGACTTGTTACTTTACTTAAGTTAGTTTCAATATTTGTTATGATGTCTTCCTTATTATAATTCAGTAATCTACATGAAACACCTAAACCTTTTATTAATACTTCCTGTTGTTTAGTATTTAGTGTTAAATTTGAATTATTAATTATTTTAGGGTTCTCTAGGATATTTTTATATTTTTCTGGTAATAACATAACACAGTGTTTTGGGACAACATGGGACATACTGGTCCATCTTGGTTGTTCCATCCTCTAAACTAAATTAAAATAAAAAATCTTAAAGCCAGCCCTTATCAAACTTTTTCTTAAACTCACTTAAATTTACTGCCTCTACAACATCTGAAGACAACCAATTCCAAAGGCCAACCACCCTGTTAGAAACATGAAATTGTCTTAGCTGAAGATGACTCCTACCCTGCCAAAATTTATTATTTGTGTCCCCTAGACTTACTATTCTCCCTTTTAAATATGAAAAAAGATGATGCATCAACACTATCAATTCCCTTTACAATCTTAAACACCTCAACCAGATCCCCTCTCACTTTTATTTTTTCAAGAGAAATCAATTTGAGAGGTTTCAGCCTCTCCTCATATGACAGCCCCCCCCCCCCAATCACAGGCATCATTCTAGTAACCCATCTCTGAACCCTTTCCAACAATTCAATGTCTTTCATAAGGTAAGGAGCCCAAGACTGAACATAATATTCCAAATTTGGTCTAACCAGTGACCTGTACAATGAAATTATAACCTCTTTAGATTTGCATTCAATATTTCTGTAGATACAACCTAAAATCCTATTTGTCCTACCACTAGCAACAGCAAATTGCTTAGATGGCTTTAGGGAATGATCGACTATTACACCAAGATCCCTTTCCTTCATAACACTGTTAAGGTTATTCCCATCCAAATTATATTTATAATTCAAATAATGATAACCCACATGCATTATCTTGCATTTATTATAATTAAAACCCATCTGCCATTTATTTGCTCAACTCTCTAAATGATCTAAAACCTTTTATAAACCAGCAGCGTCCTCGTTACAGCTAGCAACACCAAAGACCTTAATATTGTTACGTCTCCGTGTGTTAATTAATTTTCCGTAACTTCGTTTCAACGAAACTTTAAC